CAGAGAATATGCAGAAAGAGGCTATGAGCGGCACAGAACAAGCAGGGAGAAGGAGGAACGACACCGAGAAAGGAGACATCGAGACAAGGAAGAGACAAGACACAAGTCATCTCGAAGGTTGGCTATTCCAGTGCTTTTATGGGGTAGAAAGACAATGGCGGTATCAAAGGAAGATCCTGGCTGCTGCTTTTCAGTTGTTGGCATGTTCAAATGGAGCCAACAGTTGTTCTGTTTCAGTGTTAGCCTTTATTTCAAGTGAGCAGTATATGAAAAAAGCTTGAATTTGTTTTTCAAGAGCTCAGTAATTAGGCATATAAGGCTTAAGGCTTTCTTCGTGCAGTAATGCACAGGAGCCAACAAAATCAAATCTCATCATTATTGTAGTTTCTATTCTGATATGTAATATCTACTGGATTGCTACACAATTGAAGGTAAATCCTGTCTTTAAGTTGTGCTTCCATCAAACTTGACAGACTGGAGAAATTAGCATGCATTTGTATTTTCACAGTTGTGTTTCCTTTAGTCTGAAGCCAACTGGGTAGGGATAATTGAGGATGAAATTATTTTGTATTGCATTATGAAAGAGACAAAAACTAACAGCCAGCAAAATGTATTTATTTAGAAGTTTGTACCTATCACTGTAGAGCAAACAGGAAGACCTCATTGTTTAAACAGTTTTCTATGTTTAAAAATGGGGCTGCGGTGGCTCAAGTGGTTAAGACGCTGAACTGCAGACCGGAAGGTCAGTAGCTCAGCAGTTCGAGACCTGAATGCTGCATGATGGAGTGAGCTCCCGTCTCTGGTCCCAGCTCCTGCCAACCTAGAAGTTCAAAAGCAAGAAATTGCAAGTAGATAAATAGGTACCGCTTTGGTGGGAAGGTAATAGCTTTCCGTGCGCCTTGGCGTCTAGTCGTGGTGGCCACATGACCACGGAAACGTCTTCAGACAGCACCAGCTCTTTGGCTTGGAAACAGAGATGAGCACATCCCTAGAGTCAGATTTGAGTGGCTTTCGAGCAAGGGAAACCTTACCTTTACCTATGTTTTAAAAAGTCTTAACAGCTTTTAAATGTCTTGTTATACAATATTAAAGGCCACCTATTTCAAATAATGCTTCCAGAGTAGGATTCACACAGTCCCTTTAAAAATCTCAACGTTTGTTCATTGAAAGAAGCCTGGTCTCATGACTATGGAGATGTTTGATCATGTGATGATAAAGGTGTTCAGGGCAGTCCTTTGTGCCAAGCAAGCTAAAATATCTGTTGCAAGATGAAATAATGGTGGGATTTGAGGGGGGAATTTACTTTGGTCCCTTTTTGGGTTTTGATTGGACATGCTTAAGAGGCTCATGTGAGCTGTAATGTGTGAGCTGGTCATTAACTTTAGGGCGTCAGAAGTTGGCTTCCAGTCAGGGTAGTGCTGAATTCGAGAGCCTCCAGACAGAGACAATCCTGTTAAATAAAGTGTTCTTCTCCGTTGCTTTTCTCCTAGTAACAGTAGGCGCCGCCATGACAGTGAAGAGGGAGACAGTCACCGGAGGCACAAACACAAAAAATCCAAAAAGAGCAAAGAAGGAAAAGAAACGGGTGGCGGAGAACCTGTCCCAGAGCAGGAAAACACTGAAGCTGCCCTTACAGACTAGGCATGTGTGACTTTTGCCTACCTGCTTATTATATTAGTACCAGAAATAGATTGCTCTAAATCTGATTATTTTTCTGGGTCTTAACAAGAAATCGCTCTTAATCTTGTTCTGTTAGAATAAAGCATAAGTTTAATTTGATTTTTTTGAAAATAAAAAGAGTGATTTTTTTCATGTTTAAGCACATTGTTTTGTCTTACCTGCACTACTAGAAAGAACACCGAGAGTTCTGTTTGGGTGGTGAAATTCTGTGCATTTTCTTTGCAAGTTTATGAAGTCTTTCCAAATAGGAAAGAACAGGTCATTTCACTAATTCTGGAGTTATTCTATGCTGAGCCCACACATCATGGAAAAATGAATAAAAAATAACATTAATGTGAGAAACTTGGTTGATAGATGTGTTGTGTAAAAAAGAAATGCCAAATACCCTCTATCTGTTTCCTAAGTAACTTCTTCCTTTCCCTGCATACCCACTTAAAAAACACATATCCTTACTATGCTGCAGTGGCATCTATTTGTGATGCCTCACCTGCTCTTGGAAAGATGTTATATTTAGCTGCTCAAATCTCCCTTCATTTGTCCCTCAGTTAATTTGTCATAAACAAACCTGGAATTCCTTCCTTCCTCTTTGGCAGGTAGTTGGTAATCCAGAATGCGACATAGAGTAAGCAGAACACAGAAGTAAAACACTCGTGTGCCATGAATCAGAAGCACTGAAAAGTGTATTTTGTGCTTTTTTAATGAAAATAACCTGGCTTTACAAGTAACAATTACAGTTATCTTAACAGTAGAAATGAAATTTTCATTCACAGTTATTACACACTAGGAAACAAAGTGTTTTGAAAAAAGATCTGCTTCATACTGACCACAAAAAGGGACTTCATGTAATCATCATAGTGCTATGTGTCTTGAGGACATGCTGTCCCCTTAATTGTTAGAAAAGTATTTCACCAGTTGTTTAAGAGCTCTTGGGAACATTTGCAAACAAGGTATTTGAATTTATTTTCTTTTAAAAACTGTAGGTGGAACGTATTACCACTGCTGCTTTGATTGGATATAAAAATACAAACGTATGAGACAGAGAGCAGCAAGAATGTGTACCCTGATTTATGATCTCGGTGGACTTCCATATTTTAAAAGTGCATGTTTTTCCTAACGCATACCATGAAACATTTCTACTTAAGACCATTCTGTTTGTTGTATGCACATTTACATTTCACAATTTTCTTTTACAAGTATACAATTGACCAGATAGTGGAGCAAACAGATGTCCCTATTAAGTGCTTTATTTGTGTCAAACAATTTGTTGCTCTCCAGCTGAAATGAATCTTTATAAAAAAGTGCCAGGCCAGGACACAATGGTGAGCGTGATTTTCCCCTTCAGCTCCTTTAGCATCCTTGCCAAACTAGCATGCGCCATTCCAGAAATATTTCTGCCATTGACTGCAAGGAGGATGTCACCACACCTGGAAAATTGAAAGTGGGAAGGGGAATAAGAAATAACTATTGGCAATTTTGAGCAACCTAAATTATTGACAACTTTGAGCGACCTAAAGAGGAAATTTCCTGGGGGGCGGGAATCTCCCTCTGCTAGTCTTGAATTTTGGGACATCCCTAAGTCATTTGTCAGAAAGGTAGCAGGTTAGATAAACCACAGGATTGTTAGTGAGCAGTGCGGAAATAAGAATCAAGGAGTCAAGTGAAGTGCAAATAAGTTAGGCGTCACTGAAACCCAGTTGGAGAGGAATTAACCCTTCTGAACGTCCTTCAGCTTTCATTTCCCAAGTCTGATATTTCTAGAAGAAAATGAGAAGACTAAGAACTTTGTGAACATTGTCTACGATGGCTTTTGAAGTCCATCAAGCTTACATCTGCTGTAATGTACAAAATATACGTGTCATGTAATTTTCCTAATGTCATGCTAGTATTACTTTGTAAATAAGTCATACAGGGTTTTTTCACTAGCCATAAAGGAAATTTCCTCTAGCCAAGACTACTATTTTATCAAAAGCGTATCAAACATTTTACTTGGGAGACTTACCAGTAGAATTTAATCCTTTTGTTAGAAACCGTCTCTACCTGCTTGGATCCAGAAGGGAAGGCCAGTTGTTCCCTAATGCTGCACTTTCTTTGGGGCTCCCTTTGAATTTAAAGTGTTTTACAGCCGTATGGTGTGTCTGTAGCTCTATTTTCTGATAGGTTTTATTGCATTGGGATAAAAATGAACCTACTTTGATGTATAAATCCCTTGATTCCTTCCAGGTTTCGACTTTTATCACAAGGCAAGCCATGTTAAATGGGCACACTGATTCCAGTCCTGTCAGAACCATTTCAGTGCAGGCAAGACATAACTGTCACACGTGATGCTCTGCTACTGAATACAAGGGAAGAAGATCACTTGGTTGGATCCAACCAGCTTTTTCACTGGTGGAAAAGGAGGGGATCCTCTATGCCCCCCCCCCCAAAAACCCTCTGTGCTTGGGACAGGGGTTGTATCAAGGAGGGGAATTAGGTGAGATTACCTGAATAAACTGGTTTAATCCGACCCGATATTGGTTAGCATTCATGACCAGTGTTCAGTAGGGCTGCATTCACGTGTCAAGTTCATATTGTTCATTTGAAAGAAACTGGTTTATTGAGACCTTTGAATTGGGGTGCTTTCACAAATTGCAGCTTGGTTTTTGTCTAAAAACTAAACTAGTTGTCAAACGGCCCCAGTTTAGAGATCCCAGTAAACTGCAGTTTTAGATTCTAGATGCTTGCAGGAGCATTGAGGAGAGGCTACTGTGGGGTGGGTGACCAAGCCCGTAGCGTCTCTTGTTCTGGTAACTCTATTCTGATCCGTTGCTTGGCAGTCAGATATGTGAAACTTGAGCGTACCCCTGGGTTTTGGGTTCCCACCCTCCTTCCAAAATGTGCTGCATCACTCGGTCGGGACATGTGTCCATTATCTTCTATTGGGGTATAGTCTGCTTATGGAGTCTGCCTACCACACAGTTAATAGGTCATATGGACAAAACATACATCTGTATGTGTTTTATGAGACATGTTTTCTTAAAGGAGAAACACAAGCCCAGCCGTGGCTTTCCATATCCTGCAATGTCCGGAGACTACATACCAACTTAGGGTGTGAATGGTCCTTAATTACTGGGAACCATTGTGAGATCTGGATGGAAAGGAATAACTGGTAATCAGTATGATTTTCATTACCTGATTCTTCCATCATTATAGGCTGGAGTCCCTCCAACAATGGATTTGATAAAGAATGGCTTGTTTCCACTATTTTCTTCATAACCTCCTACGATACTGAAGCCAAGGCTTCCTGCTGTATTTCTTCGTAGTACAATTTCTTTGCAGCTGTACAGATACCTAAGGGGATAACAGTCATTCTGATCAGTGGTGCTATGAGCAATTAAAACTATTGTTGAGGTGATTCTCTATTGTGTCTTACCTTTTTTTAAAAAAAAATTATCTAACCATATACATCTAAAGGATGAACTACACCTTCTGTAGAGTGCACTTGATTTAGGTCATAAACTTCACACTTTGTAGGTGTGCCAAGTAATAAAAAGTGAGGGTGATTTTTTTGTCCCGCAGGCTGGAAGTGTTCCCCATTTTAATAGTTGCAACCCTAATCTTGGTGGATGAAAACCAGCATGTCTCATTTTTAACCATGTCGGCAAATAAATGCTAAATTTTTTTAGAGAGGTTGATGAACATGCAAGGTAGACTTATCATTATCTACACAAGAGCTTAAAAATAGATTGTATTATCGTCCAGCAGGCATTTAACAAAATACGGTAGTAATTCAGCCAACTGGCATTTTGAAGTCTGGTCGATTCCCCCATCCCCAGAGATGAGAACATTTGTAGGCTTACCAGCCATTTTTTATGCCCTCAGAAAAATTAGGCAGTCTTAAATTACCATAAAATTTTAAATTTCAGCAAATAAATGGCCAAGGAGTAATGTCGTCACCCCATTTTTTGGTGCCATCTGGAAGTATAATACCAATATCATCTGTGCAACTGGAATATCTCAGGGTGGGTGTGGGGAGGAGAATTTTAATGACTGGGACTACTAGACAGACCAACCGCCACTTAAATATTCGATGAAACTGGAGCATCCGCCTGAATTAGAGGCTGGATGGAAAGGCAGACAGCTTGGAATATTTTTAGGACTAGGGGTATTTTGTCCCAGAACAAAAAGAGGCTGAGTATCTTTTGTCTTTAATAAAAGCATGTTTCCAAATGCTATCAAACAATACCCACAGATTTTCCAAAAGATGCCAGAGCCAATTTATTTGCCATTCCAATTCTGAAATGTGATTTGTTTTACATTTTCTACATACTACCTTTTAAAAATTAGTCTCCAAATGGAAAATAAATATTGAAGAAGAAGAGTTGGTTTTTATACCCTGTGTTTCTCTACCTTAAGGAGTCTAAAAGTGGCTTACAATCTCCTTCCCTTCCTCTTCTCACAAGAGGCACCTTGTGATGTAGGTGGGGCTGAGAGAGTTCTGAGAGAACTGTGACTGGCCCAAGGTCACCCAGCAGGCTTCATGGGGGGGAGGAGTGGGGATTCAAACCTGGTTCTCCAGATTAGAGTCTTAACCACTACACCACACTGGCTCTCTTATCGGCCTCCGTGTTATACAGAATTATGATTCCTGTTTGAAGAAAGGTTCAGTGCAACTTGGGAGCTGGCACCCCTACTCTAGCAACACAGCTGATCCAATAAAACATTTTTAGTATTTGCATTTTGGGCCAATGCAGCAACTACACTCCAATAATTCTGGTGTCCTTCAACATGGGCAGCACCGAGTGATTCCTTCACACTGGAAAGGGAACAAAATTGGTAGGAGAGGTTTTAAAATAATCCTTTAAAAATAGAAACTGTTTCTTAAAGGAATTGGGGGGGGGTTTGCTTTGTTCTTCAGGGTTTTTATAGCCCTGCAAAACGAGTCCCTTGGGATCTACAAATATTCACCTGCTGGCAAGATTTTGGGGTACAGTGTTTCCACAACAGCTAGCCGGTTGCTAATGTGAAAAGCAGGTGGCTCTTGGTCCTCCTTCCACAGGAGGCTGGCTGTATTGCTTTGCCATCTGTGTGGGACTTAGCACAATGAATTCCATTTTTCATAAAGATGTAAACTTGCAGGACCCACCAAGGTCATGACCAAATGTTGCCAGGATTTAACCATTATTAATAGCTACCAACTAGCTCACAGGTACAGCCAAGCAGGCTATAGTTGTTCAGTTGTCTTTCACTTTAAAAAAGAGGGGGGGTCGTCCTATTATTACTAATCAGCACAACCATGTATACAGCACACATTTCAAATACTTTCCAAAGACCACCTGGCAAGGTGCAATTCAGCTCAAGGACTTCGTGGGTCAAAACCCCCCTCTTTTGCCCTGCAATGAGAGATCTAGAACGCCTCATTCTCAATACAGAATGTTTCCTCAGTTTGGGTGACTCTGATTGGCCAACCCATCTTGCTTTACAGCTGTGCTCAGTTTTGACCTTAGTCTGGATTATTGCAGTGTGACCCACAAGCTATACCCATTAAAGTTAGTTGGCACACCCAGACAAAGCGTAAGGTGAGCCCGTAGGCACAGCATAGTTAGCGGCAGGGCTATTTTGGGGCAGGAACTCACAGGAACGGAGTTTCGGCTGGCTTCAGAGTTGGCCACGCCCACTACAGCCAAAACCTCTGCACGCATGGCTACAGAGGGAAGGCCTGGAGAGCAAACCTCCCCCCCCCGGTGACTCCAAGGCGGGTGGGCCAGGGGAGCCCTGGAATGATCGGGGAGGCATTTAAATGCCTCCCCGTGCCTTCCCCGGCCTGTCCAAGGGTCGGCTTGTCCGGGCACCCCGTGGGCAAGCCAAGGGAAGGCAATTTAAACTGCCTCCCCTCCCCTCCAAGGGCCGGCTTGCCCGGGCTCCCCACAGCTGCAGGGCGCCCGGACAAGCCAAGGGAAGGTATGGGAGTGTGGCTTAATAAGCTAATGAGGTGTGTTGCCAGGGGTGTGGCCTATTATGCTAATGAGTTCCTGCTGGGCTTTTTCTACAAAAAAAAGCCCTGGTTAGCGGCATTTGATAATGGTTCTGGTCACTGCATTTTTATCTTCTTGTCTATGACTCGATTCTCTTGTACACTGCCTTGCTCACTGGATGAGAAGACAGGGCTAACATTTAAATGTTGGGACAAGATGTCCGAGGGTTCAGCTGTGATCGTTTTACAATGCCTGGGTTTGCAAAAAAAACCAACACCACAGCAAAGCAAAAAATGGCAACTCCTTCCGGTCAAAGTAATTACCAAGAAAAGGCTGGTTTGCAATTTAACATCCATTTGATGCAGGTGGGTGGCTGGACCAAAGCTTTATTAACAAGGGAGGCAGGTAGGGACTCCACAGTCAGCACTCCTTTTCTTGATTCCTGATAAAAGCCCAGGGGTGACCTAGGTTAACCAACTGGAAGCAGAAGCCACAACAAACAAGGGTGGGGGGGGGGGCAAAAATCTGATCTTCGACGTGGTCTCTGTGCTTCACACCAATGGGCTCTAAGAGCTGCAAAAGCGAACAGCGAACCGATCAGACCGACGAAGAAAGAGGTCTTTCCAACGCGGCCGTAAGAAAGGAACTGGCGGGATGTCTGCGCCCACCCCTCTGGGCATGCACGGTGGGGTTCCTGCGCATGACCGAGGGACTGGGCGCAAAAATCCGTTAAAAGAGCTTGCTACAGCACCGATCGATCCAGCGCGTGCACACTAGATCCCATGGGTGTGAATGCACAGATGACCACTCGAAGATCACCAGTTACTGGTCAGCAACCTACTTTTCTTGTGCATGTTACTACCAGTGTTCCCTCTAAGCTGAGTTAGTGTGAGCCGGCTCACAGTTTTTTAGCCTCCGGCTCACACATTTTTGTCTTAGCTCAGGAAGGACAACTTTAATGCCAGTAGCTCACAAAGTGGAATTTTTGCTCACAAGTCTCCACAGCTTAGAGGGAGCACTGGTTACTGCCTTGATTCAGTGCTGCCCGTGGGTATGCAGTCGGTTGGTGGCAGATCTGCCACAGGAACATAAAAATTGGGGCAACCAGTATCATTTGGAGCATAAGATCATAAAACACATTGCAATAGCTTTTCAACTGTTATTGAATGAAACTGGAGCTACAAGCATGGACGGCTTCAAAAGGGAATTAGATAAGCATATGGAGCAGAGGTCCATCAGTGGCTATTAGCCACAAGGTATAAATAGGGACTCTGGGGCAAGTGATGCTCTGTCTTCTTGGTGCTTGGGGGGGGGTCAACAGTGGGAGGGCTTCTAATGTCCTGGCCCCACTGGTGGACCTCCTGATGGCACTGGTATTTCTGGCCATTGTGTGATACAGAGTGTTGGACTGGATGGGCCTTTGGCCTGATCCAACATTGGCGTCTCTTATGTTCTTATGTTCTAACTGTTTGTAAATTGATTTTCTTAACTAGACTGGTACTTGTAATTTATTTATTACCATAATTAGGGGGAAAAACACTTTAAAAAAACCATTCTAAACGTCTGGTCATAGATAGCAGTGTTCCATGATTTGGTAGATGGATTCGGTAGACGGAGCTTTGGCAAATGCAGCTCTTGGAACACAATTTAAATACGTAACTAAACTAATGAGAACTCCAGCAAAACAGCTGTGCTATTTTGTTGCACCAAAAGGGAACAGGAACTCTGTGGGTAGCTTAAAACCGAACGAGATTTTATTCTGCCGTAACCTTTTGTGGCCCACAGGCCACTTTGTCAGATATGTGTAGCTGGGTGTGAAACGAAGCAACATGCTACGTCCACACTAAGGGAAAAAATGGATTCACTCAAGAAAGGCTGGGATTTAGTTAACTGAAAAAGAAGCCTGATATAAAAGCACCTTGTTAAGCATCTGACTGACCTTGAACATTTGGGATTAAACACTAGAGGGAGAGAGGGTTGCTTTTGGTCAGCTCAAAAGACCAAGAGCACAGAATGCCAGTTAGGGTTCATGAGCCATTTCTACGGTGGCTATTGGGGTTGAACTGTCTGTCTGAGCAGCCCTGAACATCTAATCTCTCTTAAATACTCCAGGAAAGTGAGCAGTGCGAAAAACACTAACAAAAAGAGCCACTGAACTGTTTGTTCTGGCTGATGCCATCAAGAAAGCCAGGCAAAGCAGCCAAAATCTACTGCCGCTGCACCAATTACGTGCATGCTGCGCTTCGTGATGGAAGCACAGCCGTTTCATTTAGGTGGGTTTTCTAAACTGGCCTTTGGTGAGTCATCCTTAGATGTTCTGGTAGAGCTTGAATAGCTGCTGCTTGTCTTCCCAGTAGTATGAGTAAAATAAATGCC